TCTAACGTGACAGTCTTCAGCATCTACCTAACGACGAACATTTGAGAGTTCTGTGGAAGATAATTTCTTATATGGAACTTCAGTCATCCACTGACCCATATTTGAGTTAGTTCAAGAAATAGAAAACAAGTTTCTGTTCTTAATTTTGAAATGACGAGTAGTAGGGAAATGTATACTAGACAGCCAATATATTAAACGAATTAGTTCTTTCCTTCTTTAACTCAAATAGGGCATAATATGAAGATAAGTTAACTTAAATGCACACTGTATAAGAGTTCTATGATTTCAGCTAGTTTTCATACACGTGTTTTAATTTCTTTCTCAACTTCGAAAAATAACATAACATTTAATAATAAATCTATTTTTTGTTATACCCCATTGAGTAGAAAAATTGTATTTCTTATGTTTCGTGACCTAATGTAAGCCACTTCTTCAGAGTAAATAAATAACTGAAATTAAATTAACACAAGTTTAAACATGTATGGCTTACATTAAGTCACGAAACATAAGAAATAAAATCTTTCTACTCATTGAATTATAGTAAAGATATATTTATTTTTAATTCTCTACTCAATGTTCAATTTGTTTGAAAAGCCATCAAGTCCAATCTTAGTATTGATACCTATAAGTCACATCTATTCTTACTCTGCTTTATTTTTACTTTCGAACAACTTTTTATGAAATGCCATTTTTTTGCCAACATCAACATTTTATTTTATATTGGAATTCTTTATTGAATCAGTAATATTCCAAAAACTAGATGAAAATATACGGTGTACGAGGTAAACAAATCATGTCTATCATATTTCCATTTTAGAATTTAGCAAAAGAAAACAGTGATTGGACATTCAATATATATATACAATGTAAAAACTTGTTACTCATCAATCTCCTTACTTTAATTGATATTCATAAGTTTATATAACTGAAAAGAAAAGTGTTTTAAATGTCTTTACTTTTTTAGATTCTGGATGTTTTTTTTTCATGTCCAATCATTTGGACAAATAGTCAAATACATGGTTCTATAAATAATGTAATAATAATAAAAATATATTTTTGGTGTTACTGTACTGGTTTTGATAGAATCCAAAATAAAATCAATAAAATCGAATCCCACAAGCGGGACCGTGTATGCGCACTGCTGAGGAGTCCCACAATAGGACGAAACGGCCGTCCAGTGCTTCCATGTTTTCAATGGTGGTCTAACATCAATCGGTTCATGATCTCAATCAAAACTTAACAATCTCCACAACCCCTACACTGATATCTGACTTGTATTGGCTGATGGGTAAAAATAGCTTCTTTCTTATTTCTGTCTATCTTATCATGGCAAATGGCTTTTGGTTCTGTGTCTTTTTATCAGTAGTACATTCTGTTCTCTTTTTCAACACTAATAATTACAATCAATGATGTTTTACATGTTATTTAAGAACTATAAATCCTGGCACCATTATAGGGAACCCAAGAAAATGCAACATACAATCATTAGTCTAGTTTTATGCATAGTGTAGTATTGTTGAGAGATTATCTGTCATCAGTGCCATGTTGCTAATATATGCTATATTCAATATATGTTCGGTTTTATTATACGATACTGCAATAGCATTTCTCTCTTAAGTCCAATATTCTAAAAACCCATACACATAGGATTGTTTTTTTATTCAACAGTGATCATTTAATATTTGTCGTTTTCCGCAAACATTTGCGATTAGTTTTATGCCCATAACATGTCTTTCTGTCACACTACTTTTAATTGATGAATTCTATTGCAATCTCCTCATTTATTCAAAGCATAGCCGAGTAGGGAAATGTAATGTGGTTAGAGGAAGTTAATAGAATGTTCTGAACCTAGGTTTCGTGCTATTCGGCACTTGTCATCGAAGTGTGAGTGTAATTTTTAAGAAACTAATGTTCCGCGTCTGATTCAATCTAGTGTCATCTAGCTTCACAATCAGAGGTGTTACCACTGTTCTATTCCGACCATGATCAACCTTCTTTATGACTGAAATGTATGTACTATTGATTGATCGCTGAATATTAACTAACGTCATTCATGTCAAGTCCAAATAGCACGATATGTTCGCCAATCATTTAAAAAATAAATGGATTATTTTCTTCTTCATGAAGGACACGAACATTTCACCTAAAATATTTGTTCTTGTAGAATACCATGAATAATTTCCACACTTCTTCCCGAATAAATTGATGTGGGAATAATTTTTCTAAATAAAAAAGGATAATCTTACGTGTTCTTGTCTGTACTGAATATAAGTTCATTATTATATGGACCAAATTAAGTGACTTGCACATACCTTATAACTCAAATTTAATTAACCAATACTTGTTTTAAATAAATTCTAAGAAACAAATAAAAGTGTTCCAGTGGTTTCTAAATGTACTGTACAATAGATACAAACACAATTGTATGAATACATCGAAAATCTTCAACTGTGTGTTTTTGTGTTTGGTAATCTTTCGAACACATTGAATCCAGGATATTTGAAAAGAGCGAAAACACTGCTGATCAATAACAGACAAAGTGGACAGTTAGAACAAAGCAAATTCAACAATATATCTTCGCTTTTATATTGTATAGGATAAAATGTTTATCGTTAAATCTTATTACTGTCTAAAATATTGGCAATAGGTGACGAAAACTAATTATTTTAATTGTAACAAGAAATATATATGGTGTCATTACGATGACAGTTTTGCATTGGGTTACAGGGACATTTAGTAGGCCTGAATGGAAAAATTGATGACAGTGATATACGAACTATTATTTCCAAGTTATCCGTAACATACTGAATAGTGTGATATGATGATGTGGTTTTGTGACTTGTTTGGAGACACTTTCTTGTTGATTCCTTATATCTTCACTTATACTAGTCTTTTGTGACTTCACTCTAATTCCTGGTTAGTGTGATGGTTCTTGTTTCCTAGTATTTAAACTATAGGATTAAGGAATTGAAGCAGTTCCCAACTGTCAAGTAAAACCAGGTAAACTGTGAACTCAGTCGGGTCGATACGTATATAACAGCAATGACTTCACAGTTATAACAGTTAGCTATCCAATTTCAACAGTGTCATCGAAACAAGTTTTCTGGTTATTAACACCTTTCTCATCATCAAGTAAATCAGTGCAGTACGGTACATATTTCATTCTTTTATTCCTATCAACTACATATTCAACTTTTCATTTGTTTACATAAAGTTCAATTTATACAAATGTCCATGTTTATGTGTATTTAATGTGGTTTATGTCTTCATATGTTACTAGTTATTCCTAAGTCTGTCAGTCTATTTTTTTTTTCTTATTTTGCTTCGGTGCATCATATCTCGTAAAAATTTATGGACACACTACTATATACTTAATATTATAATTATTACTATATACATCATTCTGTTTTATATGGATTCTATGAAATTAATTTGTTTATCTCACATTTTATATTAATTTGAATCGATTTATTCAAGATTTTACATTATATCCCTTAACTATACTTTACGTCATCTATGTCTACGTATCTAAGAAAGAGAATTAAATGGGCCCTTTTCCTTGGTTTGAATGAATTGAATTCAATGAATATATCTGTACTGTAACACCAACAATGACAACAACAACTAATAATAATATTAAATGCATTGTTGATGTCTAAAAATTTGTGTATTATGTATAACAGATTTTTAAGCTGTAAGCAATTTTGATTAGAATGTGTAAGCATTTTAGTAATAGTAATTAAGTTGGAATTAAATGTTGTTATATGTGAATTGAAATAATGTTTAACTGAACTCAGTAACTCAATAGATAACTCATTGAGCATTTGAAGCAAAAGCTAATGAGTTCAAGTCTCAATGTTGAACATCAATACTGAATTACAAGAATACTTGACTAGCTAGTAAGTGTTAATTAGAACGAAACACTTGTGTCAGATTCCACAGTACATGTGTCCTTCATGTTTAGTTAAATAATGTGGAAAATATTGGCTATTAAGTTGCTTAATGACAAGTGTTTTTTTAAAATCTTTTCACAGTGTCTTGTTCGTTATTTCTAGTTCTGGTATTTATAATATGATTTTTGATTGAACTGCTTTTGAATTGAATACTAAAAATTGAGCAAAAACTTTCATTTATTACTGCCAGCATCTGTTTATAGAATGTGCACTAGAGTGAGGAAGAGATATACGTGAATTCAGTTAATGAATATTTCTCACTACTCAAGAATTTATCACAGTTCATTGTAGTTTATCATAAAATTTAAGCTTATCAAACTCCGGATAAATCTTAGTGTTCTATCCGGGCGAGAACAAATGAATGGTAACGGTTGGGAATTACGTATGGATTATACATATATTCTTATTGTATGACTATTAAGTAATTATATTATATGTGTATTCATATTCTTTGCATTATAAGCTTTTATTTTACCTAGGGACTGGTACCATACGATTTACCATTCTCGTGATATTCCGAATTTATTAGTAACAGTCACAATCACGGCCACGTTTTAGCTTGATCTTGTACAAATGTTATTTTCTATTTTATGGTGTGATGTGGTCTTGTTTTGCTTGTATATAAACTAAATATGTTTTAAATATATGATTCGTATCACGGAGGCTGAGATTGGCGTTCTGCACTTACCAGACAGGGAGCTAGGCGAGAAAAAAACCCAATCGGAAGTCTAGGCTGCTCGTACTGGTGTATGCGTCATTAGTTTGGTCGTATAGGTCAGGGTATCTAAATTGGTAATTGCATAGCTAAGGCCATAGCACTTACCATGAATACTTTCTATTTCATAATACATAGTTATATCGCCTGGTTACCAGGATAGAAAAAAATTAAGTGAATAAAGGAAATTCAATTACTCCAAATGCTCACTTCCTACTAACATGACTTTTTTCGTTATTTCTAATTATCAGTTTTTGCGTTTATTGTTTTTATTAAGATATCCACTACCCCATACTGATAGTTTACTGTTTTGTTTATACCTGCTTCAATAGGTTGAATCTGCATTTCGACGAGCCTTAGATATATATGTCAAACATCATAAGCCCTCATCACCTATCATACGAAAAGCCAAAAGCAATTTGGTATGTTGTTTTTGTGTTCTGTTAATTTCTAAAAGTTGTTTATTATTTGATTTTCGATCCAAGGGGTTTTCTTTGAAAATTTATCAAGAAAACAAACAAACAAAAATTTGATGTATGTATGTAGGTTTGAAATAAAGAAGCTATCAACATGAAGAAGTGGATTGTTCGCTTTTATTTTACACTTTAAAAGGTTCTCGAAAGTTTTCTATATTTTTTTTCGAAAATTGAAGAGCTAATTGTCTTTATTAGTAAGCTTGTGATAGATCGATTTCACTGCTAATAAATAAGTGAATATTTTTTCTTCATTTATTGGTTTCTATCTTCTAGTTGACGATTGTTACTCGTGGGTCATACATATTTGAGTTGTTTCAATAATAAATCCAGAGCTTCTTACACCTCATATGTTTTACATAAAATTTGTATGCAACTTCCCAATTGTTGGATATTTATAGTACTTTCAACTAGTGTATTGTATCATCATCGAAAATATCCTTCTTCCAATTGAGAATATTGAGGTCTTACATTTTTATATCAACATGAGGAGCAATTTTTATCGTTGGTCAGTTATGAGTAACTTAGCTTCTGGTACGTTTATTCATGAGTTCAAGTTGTTACAACATAAACAGAAATGAAATTATCAAGGCCAATGTCAGGATATTAGAAATAGTAACAGGGATAAACAATATGCTTCGGGAACAAATAATGAATTTAAGGAGTGAATAGTATAATAGTGCTTCAGAACTTGAGGTTCAATCGGAAACAAAAAGTGAACACATCTGTACCATTACGATTGATTCTGAGCTAAATCATTCAATATCTAGAATAATGTTTAAAGACTGGATGAGGAGTATTACAGCGATAGTTCAAGTGATACGTCTCATAAAATAAAAAAGACAAAAAATACTGGAAGAGAGATTTTTCTACCTTAAAAGAAAATCAACATAATGATAAATATTAATATTTAGTAAGCTTTCAGAAATGTTGTATAATACTTCTTAGTACTGTTAATTTTTGTATTCATAGAACCTGACAATGTGATGATATCCCAATTGTATAAATCATCCTTGACTGTAGTAAAATAAAATAATAGAATCTCTTATAAACTTTTGGTGTTGTTCTCATTCAACTAGTTGGTACATAAAAACAGCTTTGAAATTGTCGTATGTGATAGAGTTTGTAAAGTTCATATAGTACACATTGGTATTTGTCATCTCATCAAATTTGAGAAATCTGTGAAACCTGGCCTCTCCGAGTCGAGGATGTTAGACGACTCTCTGTGTTTGATCACCGTTGTCCCCGAAGGATTGCTGACATCCAGTGGTAACACCATGTTAGTAATGCAGAGGTTCGGCATCGTGTGTTCGGGCGCAGGGAAGATAATCCAATTGGTGTCCCTATCTTGAAACATCGACTTCGGTGTCTTGGACATGTTCTACGAATGTCGTCGCAGAGAATTCCATGTCCTGTATTATTTGCCGACAGTGGGACTGGTTGTAAAAAGTGGAGAGATGGTCAGTGTATGACATGGTGTGGTGATGTGGAAGAAAGTTGTACAAAACTGGTTTCTATTGGTCCTTCATGACTCTGTGGTTGGGGTCCTAGAGATGGTACAACACAGTGGCTAGAGACATTATCAGATATGTCTCAGATTAGAAGCCAATAGCGATCATGCTGTAACGTTCTTTTACTTTCTTCATAAAATGTGACCGTAACTTCTTTAACTGAAAGGATTCTTTCTGATTGTACCTTTCTGTTTCCCTTATTATTATTATTTCACTACCATATACTAATTTGTGCTCGTCATTGTTCTTTTTTTCTTTTCACGCGCACCTTATATTCTTTATCTCTTTCCATTCTCATTATTATTGTGTGATGCGTATGTATCTTGTGCCCCCTTGTACCAATATTTATGTGTACAAATAAATAAACAAACACATTGGTAATTTGTGACGAAAAATTTCTATTGAAATAATATATATAAAATAACTAAATGAACTGTGTTGTTACACACAGTGCACTATTGTTTTCATTATTGAAACTATATATATATATATATATATATATATATATATATATATATATATATATATTACTTGTTTATTTGTTTAAAACATATTTTTCCACGTTTTTTAGGCTTCTGCATTATTGAAACGTCGAAATTTAGCAGATGCAGAATCTCTATTAAAATCAGTTTTAACACCAGACTATGGTTATACTTCAACACAGCAAAGAAGTCATTTAATGAATAATTTTTTACAGTCGGAAAATGTTGAACATGATTCTGCTATTTATTCATTATCTTCACTAGGTAGTAGTCATATAAGTAGTATTAGTAGTAATGGTGGTTATCGTGGTGTTGGATCTTTGTTGGATGGTGGTGTTGTTTTACCATGTGATTCTACTGAACAATCTATGATAATGAATTCATCTAGTCGACCAGTTAATCCATTATGGGTAATATTAGAACAAAGTATCAAAGATAATAATAATCGAAAATTTTCACTTGTTACATGGGCTTCGGAAGCCAGAATCGAACTGTAAGTTGTATATACTCTCCTATTATTTTTTATCTGTCAGATGGATAATAATTGAATCTTTTTTTATTTTTCTAAATTGATAATTATTGATAATGAGTGGAAAATAATATGTCTATGAATGAGACAAAAATCATCAACTTGGCCTAACTCGCTATACTAAATTAATATGAAGAGACAAAATTGACAAGATGGATGACAAAACGGACTGAAATAATATGGTAGCAATGACTATGACTCGGAAAGACAATGGAAAAGTATTTAGGAAGGAATACTGGAATACACAATCAGGAGGAAGTTAAGTAGTAAGTGTATCTACTCTGTTGTGAAGGATTCTGAGAGATGTTCCCATAAATTTTCTACCACTGATCGCCGTTATCACACGGATTCCAACCAGGCAGTCTGCACCCACTAAAATGGTTTAAACCAACGGTCCATGACTTCGTGAACTGATACTGTATGTTGGTTTGGCCACTTCTATCTTTCTTCCAACTTAGTCATACACCAGTCAGTAACACATGTCCAAGTAGGCAGTGGTTTGGTATAACTAATACATGTCCCAATTACCTCAGTCGATGAAGGCTTGGAACCTCATCAAATGGTACTCCACCCTTACCTAGTAACCTGTGTCTAACATCAACCTTGCTCACTTGATCAAATTAATTGGTAGTTTACACAGAATATATCGAAACTAAACATACCTTTCAAACATTTTACTGATTTTCTAAGCTTGAAAGTTCCAACATAGTCTGATTAGAAAGCCTGAAATTTTCGGTTATCTCTCCATTTTCAAATTTTAACAAACCTGCAATTTTTTAATTTCTAATTGTCTTTATGATCAGTATTATTAGCGCAAGTAATTCATCCAATCATTAGTATTCAGTCGCTGACTTAATAAACGAAAATATGACCTGTTATATTTAAAATACATTGAAATTGTGTTGTATCTTAGGTGAATTTTATAAGAGTCGAGTTAATAACAACACTGAAAGGTTTGATTACTTTGAGATTCGTTTCTTCCCGTTCAATTTACGTTACTGCTATTTATTATCAGTTTAGGGGTTGTGGAGATTGTTAAATTTTGATTGAGATCATGAACCGATTGATGTTAGGCCACCATTGAAAACCTGGAAGCACTGGACGGTCAAATATTCCTATTGTGGGACTCCTCAGCAGTGCGCATCCACGATCCCGCTCGCGAGATTCGAACCCAGGGCCTTCAGTCTTGCGCGCGAACACTTAGACTACCATTAGAACATCCTCTACTTCAACAGTGTTAGTGAATGTTATACGAAGTCCTAGATGATGATCGTGTTTGATGTTTCTCCCTTGTGTAAGCTGTGTTACCGTCAAGTGCTTAATTTTGGAAAGTTTAAGCTTCCTATTTAATTCTTCCCAAAGCATCCTGTCGTTTTTATCCTGCAGACTGAGGTGAAGTTCAGATCTGTCTTTCAGGTTCGTGATTATGAGAGAATCATCGCGAACTGTGACTGTTTTCCCAAGTTTTCTTGTACGTTGAAGCATTTAAATTACGATCTGGATCCCTGTGTTTTTTGTTAACTAGTTCAACAATTTTAGGGGTAGAATGCACGTCCGATTCACTAGCTAATTTTCCCATAAAACACGGGCTGTTCAACATTTTCTGTGATGTTCGTTTATTTCATGCAATTGGTTCCCTTTATGAATTTAAATAGAGCAAGAACAAACATTGATGCAGAATAGTATGAATTCATATTATTTCGAGGTTTCTCGTCAGCTGCTTACAAACCATATATATAGTTATTATTGTAATCAAGTTATTTACACTCATTTATGTCAATTGTTTCACACTATCTCCATGTAAAAATTCTATCACAATTTTGGTTTGTAAGCAGCTGACGAGAAACCTCGAAATAATATGAATTCATACTATTCTGCATCAATGTTTGTTCTTTCTCTATTTATGTCCGTTTATGTTTAATCTTGTTGACTGGGTTCTAGTTGCCTACAGTAGATGTCTTGAGGGCTACAGTTACATTTGGAGAGTCTGTGCTCGAGGACACAGATAGATTTACTAAGAGTTTAGCACCGTCAATGTTACAGAAGTGTTATGTTTCAGAAAATCCTCACTAGTGTTGATACTCGTTCCATCAACACTTATGTTGTCGAAGACCCTCTTTTTTGCCTTACTGCATGCCTTTGTTTGTTTATCCGTCTCAGAACTGCCTTTTTTCAAGGTTACTGACAACGTTTTATGCAACTTAGTCAGGATACCACGTGTGATAGCAAAACGACATCCAGGTCGCCTACATGTGATCCTAGTAACCATGGCGAAATATAAGTTGTTAAATAAATCTCGGCAAAAGTTTCCGACCGTGAAAAAAAAACAGTACACCCTAAATGGATAAAAACGAGTAGTATATAACGTTAGGATATAGTGAAATCAGCTCTGACGTGAGAAACCATAAAAGGTGAATAATAAGCCAAGACAAAACCCACAGTTAACTATTAACTCGGATAAAACTAAAAAAGAAAGGTAATCTACCGAACGTTCAGATCGGGACAGATTCTTTTGATCAAAAATGGTACTTTTGTTGCGTAAGAACACAGCAAAAGTTGGAGAAGTGCAAATCGTTTTAGGACAATACTTCCATTCCGCAAAGGCTTTCTGCTGTAGTTTTAGTTGTACCAATTCGTCTTATGTTTTTTCTTCTACTTCGAATATCAAGTTTCTCGCAATCTGTCTTCTTCCTGTATTAGCCATCAGAGTGTTTGATGTGATATATGTAAATGACTGTTGCCGATTTGAAAGGAAAACAATTGTATTAGAGCAGTTCAGACGTTTTTGTTCCTAAATCCGTAAATATCTTAGGCCCGTATTAAAATCCTACTAGTAAGGTATAACACTGTGATCGTGTGGGCTGTGTTAACTTGAGCTAACTCACTTCTGCACTAAATCTTTCTTTGTAATTAAATAACTCACTGACATCCCTATCATTAAGTTGTGAATTTAAAAGTTCTATTAATAGGCCTATCCAGGAGGTATTTAGTTAAATTATTTTACTTAGATTATATATTTTTACAATCGAATACATTGTTTGTTGATTGACAGGAATTCATCATTAAAGAACCAAGTCATTGTTTCTGTTTCTCAGTTGACCAACTTTTATACACAACAGTCATATTTGTTTAATTTCACTAAAACTTTATGTAACAATTAATGTCATTCGTTTAATACGAAAATCTATGATCGATAGTATTTGGTTGGTAAAATACATAGAGCTTGTAAAGCACTTGTGCACCCTGAATTTACATATATATATATATATATATATATATATATATATATATATATATATATATATATATATAAATTCTTATTTTATTGGGTCATGACCCTTATGCATACACTATTTACATATCATCATGTTTCTAAACTCGGAAACGTACTTATTTCACACATTTTTTAAAATTTCATTCCATTTTTCGTATACACCAAGCTCCAAGGCACTATCGAGTCGGTCTGCACAGGATGCACAAATGCCACAATAGACTGAATAATTGTAGGCATAATCATCGATCTAATAATATAATATATAATATAATAATATAATATGTCTTCTTCTATCTAGTCTATCATAATAGTATGTAAGCTAAATATTCATTTTATGCAATCGGTTTAATTTCTATTTGAACATTGAATAAAGCAATGTTCGCTATTGACTATTTGTAATCACAGATGTTTTGAAAGACTTTTCATCAACTTTTCGGTAATTCAATATAAGTCAATGTGTAGCGGGTTCATGATGAGTAAATATGTGATTGTCTGTGAGAATTTGTCAAGATAACAAAGCACTAAATAAGTGATAATTTCTGATTCATTTGCATAGATTGTTTGAATAAGATGGAATGTGTGTCCAAGACTCCACTGTTAGCCACCATCCATCTTAGCTTATAATCCTTGTGACTTAAGACAATGTCGATAAAATCTGCACAAGATGTACAAACGCCACAAGAAACTGTTCATTTGTAGTCTTAAACATCATTAGGAAGTCTAAAACAACCAATGCATAAGCCAGTGGTTATCTCTACTCAGTAGCCAAGTGGACAACTCGATGGTGTTTGAAGCGAACGGTACTGGGTTCGAGCCTCGGAGTAAACATCAACCCTGGGATGCGAGTACATCTAAATGACGAGTGCTAAATGGGACGAGACGCCTATCCTGGGTTTCACTGCTAGCCACCATCCATCGCTGCTTACGATGTTTTTTTAAAAAAATATTGTTTGGATTTCTATTACTTACAATATAATTTCTCGTTTTGTTGATTTCCTCTCACTGTGCCAACTTGATATATGATATAATGAACGCGGGTTGCAGGTCATACGTTAGTGATGACTAACTGACTCTCTATACTCTTCACAATCTTACATTATAGGTTGTGAACTCTTAATTAATGGTAGAGTCGTAACGTGTAATTTTTAAAATAATAAAATGTAGTAATGTCAACTGTGTTAAATTTACGTTGAATGCAATTTTTAAACACAAATTTATTTACATATAGATGATGAACGGCCCTTGCAACTACCAAGATTCAATACATGACAATTAGTTTCTATGATTTGAAAAAATGTTTCGTTTCATTAAATAGTTAGGGTTATAGCCTCAGTATTGTTTTTTGAATATAATAATTCACTTTAGAGTTTCTAAAAATTATTTTACTCGAAATGGTTTACAAGGAGATATTTACATCTTTGGGATTTTTGTAATAATACAGCATATTTATACCAGTCACATTATTTAATGGTTTTATCCTAGTGATGATTTATTATACAGACATTCATAAACATCGAATAATATGGGATTGTATATATTGTTTTATGCTATAATAATATGTGATTATGTATCTACTTGGAATATTTGACCTATACGTTGTATAAATTAGGTTAAATTACATATCTTGTGTATTTGTTTAATGTTCAATAACCAATCATTCGGGGAATAAATAATCTTTTATGACCTACAGAAGGTGAATTGATTTGTTTTGATAAAATAGTTAGGGCTATCATTTCTTATTCAAATAACTAGATTTTGTTTGTACTTTTAACGTATTTTATTTCTGTAGTTTGAAATTTATTTATCTCTAATAGACACATCTAGTCAAACATGAACAAGATTATGTTTGGGCTTTTCATTTATTTTATGTAAAATACATTCTTAACATTAGATGGTGGTTGGAGGTAGTCGACAGGAAACCCTGGACCCGGGTTTCATGCTACTTGGCACTCGTCAGCAAGGTGTACCTGTCGACTACCTCCTACCACCATCTAATCTCAATATATAGTACACGCAGTATCGAGTCACCTAGACTGGTGGCCACATTGCAACATGGTCGATAGCATTCGATCTTTACTAAATAAGGACTTGACACGCATGACACTGATCACCACCTAGTGATCAATCAATTGTGATTACATTTTTAACATTTTTATTCATAGAAATATCCTATTTTAATCACATTCAAGAAGAATTACTAAGGATAACGCCCTCAAACTAATTTTTATTGTATACTTCTGAATTTTTTATGGCTTGTCAAAATGTCGAATGAATTTAAACCTTTGAGAGTTTAGAAAGTTTTGTTCTAGTTGTGTAGTAATTAAAAATTGCTTTTATATTCATTTTGAATCGTTTCATAATGGAAACTTATTTTCAAAATTATGAACATGGAAAAACCATAACTTAGTTTCTGTTTTCAAAATTATCATAACTATAATCATTATTCCAATAGTTGAGATCATGAGTCAATTGAAGCTAGACCACCATAGAAAACCTGGAAGCACTAGACGGCCATTCCATCCTATTGTGGGACTCCTCAGCAGAGATGGTAACTCACTTAAGATAATGATGGATGTGTCGCTCAATTTCGTGGATTAGTTGAAGTTAGACATTAACACCGCTGAATGCCTGTTCAGTGGTTTAGTGGTTAAGCAAGACTGGTAGGTCCTGGGTTCAAATCTCGCGAGGCGGGGTTGTGGATGCGCACTGCTGAGGAGTCCCACAATAGGAAGGTTTGGCCGTCCAGTGCTTCCAGCTTTTCCTTGGTGGTCTAACTTCAATGATTCGTGATCTCAAGTATTGAAATTACTACAATCCCCACAAAACCTCTTCTGATACAATCATTATTAATTTACTGTACTAATTATATAACAAGGTATTTGAATATTGACTTTTCTTCTATTTGAATAGTCAGTATGAATATTCTTTTATGGAATTACTAACTATTTGTAATTCGGTCAGACAATGTGAAAGATGACCTTTCTAGATCAATGTTGGTAATTATACTGAGTGACAAGTAAGATCATTAGAACATGACAATTAGTTAGATTTATAAATTTAAGAGAAATCAAAGTGCTCTGAACAATCGTGATACATCACTGACTGTTACAATATCTGAATTAATGATTTGGTTATTTATTAGAACTAATAAATGTTATTGGATGTTCTTTCTAAAAACTCTATTATCATTATTCTATGTTAAAAATTCTTAATAATGTGCTTTGAAGTACCTGTAATCTTACAGATTATTGAATAGATTATTACGTAATCATTTATTACCGTTCGTAAAGTCAAAATAATGTTTCAATAACTTAAACACTTGCCTATCATTTTCCCCAGTATTTATCATAGAATTAAGATGAGAATTTGGGGTGATTATTTGATCTAAAATTAGCGTTCAGCATGAACATGATACTAAATGATGAGCCATTAAAAATCATGGGTTATTGGACTAATGAAATTCTAGTTGGATTTAGACTGAGATGAATTTCACTTATGACACTAAGTGAGGATTGAACGATGTAATGGTAATCGGTCGGCGATTGGAAAAATATGTCCGAGCTACTGGTCAAAAATGTATCGTTTTCCATTCTCAACCAGAAGGTCCTTGATTCAATCTTGAATGTTGTCGTGGATAAGAATTGTCAATAACTCCCACACTATGACAAGATATTTTCTAAGCCTATCCACTAATTTCCGATGGTTCTGTGGGTGATGTCAGTTCATAAGGAAATCAAATATCTACTTTAGTTTCCCCTATAAGCATAATTTAGTCAGTTTTTAAAAAAATTATGTGTTTTGTTAGTAAAGTGGCAATTGTTTAATATATTTCATAATTTTAGATCTGTGGTTCATAGTGCAGTACGTAATTTAGCTATAGTTTATCAACGTCAAGGTCTACAATCTCATGCTAACTTATTGCTAGAGTGGCTTCAAATGGCAATTACTGATTGTAGACCACGTTTAAATCATACGTCTTCATTGGCCAGTTCACCGATAAAATGCACACAATCAGTCCATGGTATCAACTCACATGTAAGTCTTATCGTTCTACGTAATAAATCATTTTTTTGATGAAACGTCAGGATATATACATCGTCATACAATTTAACTGTTTAATTAAAGCTTTTTCCTTGTATGTAAATGATAATGGTTATTCTATGTTTTATAAGCAATTCCTGTTGAATAAACATTCATGGTGTGAGGACGGCCCATGGGTGAACTCGAGGAATCTCTAAGAAGCTCAGAAAGAGCCGAAGGCATTCTATCCAATCATCTTTTGGAAGATCATTCCAGAATCTCGACATATAGCTTCCCTATTGGACAAATGCTACAACCACTGTATACGGATTGGATGACTATAATGATGATTTCACTTTTACTAAAAACTGTAAATACCTGATAGTTATGTACCATATTCGACACTGTTCGGAATAGCATTCCTTCTCACTCGTCTTCTGTCTTCTCGCTCGCGACTTTTGAGGATTCTAGCGTTCGAGTGCTCAAGTTGTACGCGGTATATCAAGAATCTAAGCTCCAGATATAACACTTGATCTCCATAATATTCGGTAAAACGTTGGATTTTTAAATGCTTTTTCAAATTAACCTATATTAAATGAAAGAACCGTTAACTTATATTTAGATCAGTATGTTTCATTTTATCTAATAAATTCTGAGGATTTCCATTCTGAAGCAAAACAGGTTCTTTGTACTCCCTTATCTTCAATAGCACCTTAATTAAAATCAATGTGTGCTGAATATTACCTACAAATGATCTTGTTCTCTGTTAAGTCCATGTGTAAATTATATGGTATTATTTGTTTCCATTAGAACTGTTTATTTTAATTTTAGTTATCAAGTTGTGTAAATAGTAGAATAACGACACTAATTACTTTGATACTAGTGGTTGAAAATGGACAACAGTAAACCCTAGATCTGGGATTCGGGTTATTCAAAACTTTTCAACAATGTGTATCTGTGATTTCGAATTCGATTGGAGATCAAAGGTATATCTTCGTGATGATTTCCATATATTACGAAACCTCGGTTCAGGGTTTCCTGTCCACTGCCTTCAACCACCGCCTTATCATACCGTAGCATTTAGGAATGTCATGATACTTTCATAGGTATACTTCTACTTGGATTATTTTACCTAGTTACAAATACAAGCCGTTAATTTTTTGCTCACATGACATCAGATTCAAAGTTTAGCTTACTGTGCTAACCAAAGATATGCAACCAGTTATCCTGACTTTTCTTTCCAATCTTCAAATATACTATAAACCGTAAAATGTTTCGTAAGTAATTAGTTATATTTTATAGTGAATTTGATCATATATTCACTCTTTTAAGATTGTATGATGTATACCTCGATGCTTAAAATGTAAATTACCCCTAATGAAGTATGAAGATAACCAGCCGAAATAGAAGAAATGGAATAAACACGGGAGAAAAGATTTATGATTTTTTTAATCACTAGGATGAAATAAGTTACTTAATCGTTAACATTTACATTCCTTCCAATATAACAGGGTTCTTGAAATTATTATTAGTAAAATTTTGTTAAAAGAAGACACTCAGTACTCTAATGTAATGATAAATTAATCAATAATTAAAATATATTTCAACAGTTGAATTCATGAGTCGATCTAAGCTAGACCACCATTGAATACATGGAAGAATCACTGAAACATTTACTGTCTCAGCATAAATTTACTACCTATGATCTGTAACATATTCGAATCATTGAAACAGTAACACAGAATTCAATTACACATGCTCACAAAGTCTTCATTGATTCTTTCAACTAATTCCCACTAAGCGAGAAGACTTATATAGTTTTTCTTTAAAGCTTTATCTAGTAATGATACAGTGCAAATTGTTTGAGTTTGTATGGAAGAATTTTGTAATGATTTTTACTATTCGAAATATTAACTGGTTGGTTTTATACATAGGGAACATTACATTTCTCAATGTGAGTGTGTGAAATATCCTAAATCATCGCAATAATTAATAATTATCTTCTTGGATTTCTTTATTTCTGTTATTCCAACAAAAAGAAATACCATCTTTCAGTGTCATTTAGTTCTCTCCTTTTAGATTTACACATTTGTATGCATATCGATTCTATGTGTATGCTAGCACTCTTAGAATGAAACTAACTGGAAACAATAAATAATGTTTCTTTTTGTTAACTTATGACGCGGTACACTTTTTCTTTTTCTTTTGCAATGTATTTATAAACGACAAGCCTTACCAACCTCCTTTCTCTCTCTCTCACACACACTAGGTTTAACTAAAATTTCGTTTACTTATTTTTATGCATTTTATTGATGTTCCTGTTCACAAAGTAGGAGATAACTAACTAACTAACTACCAACTTATTTGCCTATCTGTCCACATGTATATAATGTACATTTGTATCGTTTTGGGTGTTGTTTATTTGTAGACACACAAAAACAGTCATATTATTTCTACTTCTTTAGTTCTGCTTTTTTTTCAAAACGTTCACCTGGTTGTTGTTATTGAACAAAAAGCTTAGAATTTATGTAGTTTAGCAAAAGTTGTTTATGTTTAATCGTCTTATTGTTTATAAACTTATTCATCTCCTTTTTCATACATAAATGATGTGTTTAAGGCAGATAAACACAATCAATTACTTCACTCCCTATCGTCAGTTTAGGTGTGAATTAGTTGAGCTTGTCTATCACTTCATTTACCTTGTAAGATTCACCATTCTTGATCAGCTGATATCTGACGAGATCCCTAGCATTAATCCAGGAAACTTAGTTGGCTTTGCCAACTTGCGTCTCCATCTGTCAACTAAAAAACCAGTTTTCTGCACATCAGTTCGCTTCTTTCTACTTAATGACTTTGAGACGAGACCTCCATAATAAGGGATATTCGTAGGTGGTCACGATTTCATCATAGGTTTCTTTGAAACATTCCTCGCATATTTTGGGTTCGTTGAGATGACAATTCTGAGGTTACAAGCGGAGTACTAGGTAAGAATGGCAAATCGGTTGACGAGGTATTGAGCCATTATTGACTGAAATGGTCAGTGTATGTACTAAGTATGGCTATCCTTTGATTGCCTCGATGCACTATCATGACTGATATCTAAGTAGGTTGGAAAAAAGCTCGGGGAGGCCAAACCAAGATATAGAATCAGTCCATGAATACGCTGTTGGACTGACGCATTTAAGTTGATGCAGACCACCTGGTTGAAGTTCACGTAATTACCTTAGCCATTGGTTAAAGATTTTAGGTGACGTGGCTCGCAATTGCTCAGATGCATTTCTTCTTTGTTTTCCCCTAGATCCCAAGTTTTTAAATTACTCTATAATCTTCCTATTTCACGAATCCACATTTTCTTATGCAATTGCATCTTGGATGCTTAACCTTTTCCACTACCACTAGCATTGTTACTACCTGTCCGGAAAATTTCATCTCTCTATACTAATTAGGAGTGGTAAATTGAACCGATGTACACATATGTCAGGTTCTTACTTAATTGATTTGTCGGTTTGTCATTGGATAATGTTGGGACATTGCTTTAATATGGCTGTCGCTTTTGTTTGTGTGTGATCTCTATATGGTCATATATTTTCCTTCCATGGTATAAGCAACAGACAAGTGACGACCGCCCACATCTGACAAGACGCGAGATCATATATTTTTCTTATCTATCGATTTTCACCATATTTTATCATTTATTTATTGATATTGTTTTCTTCCCGTTCTAATGTGATAATCTGTTGTTTTGTTTGTTTTAACTAAACATTATCAACTTTGTGCACAATATATTGTTGTATGACATAGCTAGCTGTATGTCACCAAAATTAATTAAATTAATAAATCGAATGTATATGTGCGTGTATGATTTTGCACAAATAATCGTCTGTACTCAGCTTTAAACAATACACTTTTTTGTTTAAAGACTAATGATTCTTGAGATGGTAATAGTCGGGGTTATGTTTTCTGCGAATTTGTGGCTTAGTGTTTGAAATTTAAGCGGATATCTGAATAATACCAAGTTTTTCTTGCATTCAGATCGATTGCACAGTATGGGACACATTTCAGTCGAAGTTAAAAATTTGTATTAAGCATGATATATGACTATTTATTTATAGACAACTTAGACTACGTAACAATTTGGTTTGTTGTTTTACTGTTAGAAAATATAGTCACTGAAAATGTGGACTTGCCTATATTGCTTACAAACAATCATTTATAATATTCTAATTGGGTTATTAATAATTTAACTCATGGAAGAAATCAAAGTAGTATGAAATTTATTGAACCTTATTAATGTTATATTTAATAAATAGAACGTTATTATGAAAAATAAAATATTTACTCATTAGCCAGCTGTATTTTCTAATATCTTCAACTAAAAATGTATTCTAGTTCAGGGATATTGATAAATGTGCTTATTCGGACATTCCACATTGTCTGTTCATTAATTAATGAACAATATCATATTTTTCTTTGTCCTTAATACTGACACAATCAGTTGGCAATTCGTGTCCATCAGAATGGGATGTGCTTTGCGAATTCGAAGTGTAGAATACTTTTACAAAACTGAAAGGACCCTGAACCTTCACTCTCCATCGGTAGTGAGCGTATAAAAATAGTCGAGAAGTTCGTGTATCTGGTTAGCTGCATAAGTGCTGGTGGTGGCGTGAGTGAAGAGATCAACTCATATATAGTAAAAGCCAGGGTGGCTATTTTGGGCGACTTCATGATGTTAGTCTGGCTGTAAAAGGTTGTATCTACAATGCGTCAGTGAGAGCAGTCTTGCTCTATACTAGTGAAACCTGACCTCTCTAAGTTGAGGATGTTAGACGACTCTCTGTGTTTGATCATCGTTGTCCCCGAAGGATTGCTGACATCCAGTGGTAACACCATGTTAGTAATGCAGAGGTTCGGCATCGTGTGTTCGGGCGCAGGGAAGATAATCCAATTAATGTCCCTATCTTGAAACATCGACTTCGGTGTCTTGGACATGTTCTACGAATGTCGTCCTGTATTAT